ATGATATTTGTTAAGGCAGAGCTACTGGGATAAACCACACCTGGGAGGCCAGTGACGGAGTTTATCTGCTCCACGCTCGCACCTTCCTGTTTAATTGTTCTTCAGGAGCGGAGGTGGTCGTGTAAAAACCCACTCTGGCTTTTTAAAATGCTCGGCCCCTGAATTAACATAATTCCCGTTGTTGTACACGGTGGGTGCCCTGTGCTGTCTGCAGTAGATTGTATCTGCAGGGCTTCAATCAGAGCACGTAGACAAGTGATGCTTCTCCGACCAAGCCCTAATTTTTTTAATTATGAGCAAGATCTGGAAAGTGTAACGAGGAAGCAGAACTGATGTTTAAAGGGGCTGCACCAACACGGAACGATGACGGATTGACTTTGGCCTGGCCCAGATTTCAGGTGCCCTGTCTGCTTTAATCTCGTTTGCTTTTCTCCTGCTGCACAATACTTGCAGGAAACCGCTGCCGCCGCACTTGCTCCTGCTCCCTCTTACACCCCCTGCTTGTGGTTTCTCCCGGAAAGGCTCTGGATGAGCAGACCGGTCGCATGGTACCCAAGTCTGGACTGGTTCAGGGCTGGGAGCGTTTGGTTTTGGGAGCTGGGAGTGTGTGTGCGGTGCCAGTGTCCCCTAGGGACTGGAGATGGGATAATCGGTGCTCTCTGATGGCAGCCAGCTACAGTCTTGTGCTGAGGTGGGAAAATGCTGCTTCCTTCAGCCATCTCCAGCATTTTGGCAGGGAAGGGAAGAGATGCAGGTTTGGGGGCCTCAGTCACCCATCTCCCCCTGCCTCCACTCAGGAGCTGGTCCCGCAGGTGTCCGTGCCTGGGCTGGGAGCAGGGATGGGACCCGTGTGTCACCGTGCCACATTGGTTTCGTTGCAGTTACTTGAAACCAGATGAGGACAAGAAATCAAAGCACAAGACAGCGGTGAAGAAGAAGACACTGAACCCTGAGTTCAATGAGGTGGGTCGGCACCGGTCGTGGTTCTCGCCATGGGGCTTTCCCCATTCCTTGGACTTAAGAGGAAAAAAACACCACCCAACCTCAGTCAGAGGGTGATGGGGTGGAGGTTGGGTTCCCGGGGGGTGGCAAAGGGCAACAGCCTGAGGAGGAGGATGGACAGCCCCAGTCCCTGCCTGGGGGTCCCAGCCCCTGCGGGAACCCAGCACGGGTTTGTCCTGACTGTCTCTGCTCCCCGACAGGAGTTTTGCTACGAGATAAAGCATGGCGACCTGGCAAAAAAGACCTTGGAAGTCACAGTGTGGGACTACGATATCGGGAAATCAAATGATTTCATAGGTGAGTGGGGCACCCCAGAAGGTCTCCTTGGCCTCTTTTATTTTTTAGTCTCTTCTGTGCCTCTTCTTTTATCATCTGCTGCTCTTCTGCTCTTCTCCAGCCTCCTGGGTTCTCCATCCCCACGGTTGTTCTTCCTAGAATCTGTTCTGCTTTTATCCCTCTCCTACCCCTGAACATCCTCTCCCGCAGCCAGCTCTGCTGCTCCTCGCTTCAGACATCCCCTAGGCAAAAGAGCACCCAAACAGGGACAAGATGTGTCTCCCTCTCCCCTTCTGTTTTCAGATCATCTGAATTAAACATGGGGTTAAAGGGAAGGTTTCACGCATCTCCGCTGGTTGTCTAGGCTTGTTGTGATTTTGTTACTGGTCGCTGTGATTTATTGCTCAGAAGTGCCCAGTATCTGACAAGCAATTGCAATCAGCATCCAGCCCTTGGCACGAGAACCAGCTGCCCGGGGCAGGTCCCAGACCAGAGCCGTGAGGAAGCCGGGCTGTGATTGCCTGTGTGTCGCATCGGGTCGTGGCATGGGATGCTGTGAGAGCGGCTGCGTGACCTGACTCCATCCGGCATTCCCCGCGTGACCTGGTATTCCTGTTCATCCCTCGCAGGGCTGGAGCTCACCCCCAGCTCTCCCTCTCTCTGTAGGTGGAGTCGTGTTAGGAATTAACGCCAAAGGCGAGCGGCTGAAGCACTGGTTCGACTGCCTGAAGAACAAGGACAAGAAAATCGAGCGCTGGCACACGCTAACGAACGAGCTGCCGGGGGCCGTCCTCAGCGACTGAGCGCCACGGGGCCGCTCCCCGGGCGGGCACAGCTCTGCCGGCTACAGCCTTTGGACTTCTTCACGGCTTCGGATACAGGGGATCGTGGTACCGAGGCAGCCGGGAGAGCGGGACACCCCACGCCACGACCTGGCTGCAGGGAAACCCTTCCCAGGGAACGAGGCAGCGGCGGTTTGCTCTGCTCAGCAGGTCCCGTGTCCCCCCCCAGCCCTGCAAAAGGCTTTTCCAAAACGCCTCTTTGCACCCTGACACACTCACACACACACTCACCAGCATGCACGTGCATGCACACGGACGCCACACGCCTGCATGCACTGCGGTTCTGGCTCCTCACTCTTTGCTGTACTGGATTACCTTCTCGCTGCCTTGCGATTCAGTGGCGACAGTGAATGCATCAGCCTCCGTTCGTGTGTCTAATGTGAGCAACAGGCGTCACCAAAACCTGGAACTCCTTTCTTGAGGCAAATTTGTGCCATATTTCTGGTGGTTTGTCAGTCTCTGTGGTTTGGGCCTAAACAGTCTTTGATGCATTTAAAGCTCCTCCATCCGAATGATTGTGTCCCCTGATAAACCTAGGAAGACTTTTCGCTTTTCTTCCAGAAATGTTGTGCTCGTCCGCTCCAATAAACCCCCGGGAAGCTAGCCAGCAAGCTGACAGCACTGTGCACACCACGGCTTCCCTCTCCTGGTCCCCGGAACCAGGCGACTTCACGTTTGCAGAAGCTGGGAATGGGGGGGTTAGAATAAGCTCCACGAAGCCACCTGCTCCATGGGATCGGTTTTGCACCACCCTCACAGCAGCCGCTCTCCTAAGGAAACCCCCAGCCAGGTCGCCAGGCTTCAGCACGGCTGTTTTTCCAGCAAAGCCGGCTTTCAGGCTAAAATTTTCTATCGCTTTTCCTTTGTTTATACTTTTCCGACCTAAAACGCAGCCAAGGGGGCTTTACGCTGGAGGTGTGCAGCGAGCTGAGCCGGCGTCGACGCTCGGAAAATGGACCTTTTTCTGCCTCAAACCAAATTTCTGTGTAATAAGATAATAAGATGATAGGAAGAATCCCAACTCTTGTCCTCCACGACCCATCCTGGTCGATCTCTGCATCCTCATC